ACAAGGAGGCATGATAAGAGAGTATGAAGATCAAGCTATTAGTCTCCTAAATGACAGACAAATAGATTTGGGTTTCTGTTTCTAGTGACATATAGTTGTAAATTAGGATATATAATCCTCAATTATCTTCTTCGTTTGACATATCCATAAGGCCAATCAAATGTTTTGAGGAAGCTACAGAAAATAAAAATTTTAAAAAGACACAAAATGTATCATTGATGTATACTAACCAAAAGACTTTATGATATTTTAGAAGACACTACTAATAGTAAAAATAATTATCTTTTATGCATACATGAAAAAGAGAGATACAATCACTTATTTATTAAATTTTATACAATTATATTATTATGGTTGTCTTTTGAATTAAAACTTAGAGTAATAACATGAGAATAGAGCATTTATAGGATCTTTTAAAAATAACTTTAACCATGCAGGATGAAGATAATGCTTACAAAGAATAGTAGCAAGAAATACTTCTGTTTGCTTCAATCATGATTGATCTAGCTCGAAAACGGATGAATGCAATCAAATATGTCAAGATTACTTAAAAATCGTGACAACTAGTCTTATTTATCGGTAAACTTCAATCTTCTTTTAGATTTGCAAAAAACAATATGATAAGACAGAGAGATAATCATAAAAAAAATTCGAATTATAATTCGTGATATTAACTTAATAAGATTCCATTATAATACAACTTTGTACCAAGATAAAGTGATAGTATCATATATTTGGAGCATTGATCGAGGAAAACAAGCAAAGTCAGAACAAGTAATTACCTCCAATTCACTAGTTGTTGAATACGAAGCACTCCTACTTTGTCTACAAAAAAAGCCTCCGAAAAGGGACAAGAGAACATTGTTATATTCCCAACTCAGGCTGTAAAGGCCATCCATCATCTATGAAGAAAAAGAAGCTTAACTGGTGCATTAAAAAAATATGCAAGAAAGTTAAGAGTTTCCAAAAAGCATTTCACAATTGGTAAAACAATCAATTGGACCCTTAAAAGCTAGCTAACAAGGAGGAATCCCATAAATTAGCAAAATGTGCTTGCAGTTTCGAATATCTTGCACACCCAAATTAATTTTGTACTTCAGCTAAATGAATTACCTTTATTTAACAAAAAAAGAAGAAGACAAAAGTCGATAAAGTGGATCTTGGACCACAACTAAATCATGGCGACGGCCACTTTGATGTCTCAAAAGCTATTCACCAACCACAATTCATTCACTAATATTTTCTAACATTAGATACCTGCTAAAATTTAAGTTTCCTACTTTACCCTTCTGCCTCAAAAGCTAGCCCTCTTTAATGACTTTATTGTCACAGTTGATCCCAGCGGCGCCGTCGCCACGTCGATCTCAAACGAGTCGGATCGGGAGAAACAGTTCGATTACAAAAAGCCTTGCCGCCAGCACCACGAAATCCTTCCCTGCGCACTGCTTATTGCCGACAGTCGGTGTCTCCGTCTCGGGACCATTAGACCACAGCACGTGCTTCAGCAGCTTCTC